GGGGATGGCCACACCGCAATCCCTTCTCCATTCTCCTCTCGGGATCTTGGGCATGCACGCTCAGGTGCCAGGCGTGAGTTTAAGCCACCGGGTCTGGGACTCGAATCACAGTCGACTACATGGGAGTCCAGCGACATAGCCATTACGCTAACTGCTGGTCCCTGGAGCCAAATTTGAACCATGCAGTTGACTATATGGGATCTGGCTCCCTCAACCAGTAGACCATGGAGTACAAATATGTAAATTAAGAGGTATATTATGAAGAGTTTCCTCTCACCTCATCCTTCATCCCCCCAACCGTAACTACCGATAAGTTTCTCATATATATTTTTAGAGTTTATGAATAAATAAGCAAATACAAATAAAGATCCTATTTTCCTCTTTTACACAAAAAGCTTACTGTGAAGACTGTTCAACACCTTGCTTTTTGCACTTAAATATTTCTTAGAGATATTTCTACTAGATCAGTATTCTTAATCAGGGGCAGGAAAGGGAATAAAATCAACATGATTGCTAAATAAACCTTTATAAATCCATGCTAAAATAAATGAAAATTTGTAGGATTTTTTTTTTAAATAACATGTAAAAGTATGGAATTTATCTACTATTGCTGTTTTGAAATCTTTATTATTAAAATAAATTGTAATAGTAAAATTACTTGGTTTATTATGCTGTCTTGAGGGTTGTATGTCTGTCTTTACAAAGTCTGCATGTAGCACCTGCATTATTTTTTAGTTAAGAAAGTGAGGTGCAGACAGGCACATACCATGCAAGGGATCATTATGGTAGCCTTGAAACTGGAAGACAGACTCCAAGACCCCATGCAAGACTTGGTTTATAGAGAGAGGGAAGAGCATATGGAGAGTGTACTCTGTGCCTTTTGAGCTCGCCTAATTTTTTTTTTTTTTTGAGAGGTTTTTCCTATAGGGCATGTGCACTCACCAGAAAGAGAGACAGAGAGCAAGAAATCACACCCCAGAGGGATGGCCACGCTGCAATCCCTTCTCTTCAATTCTCTCGGGATCTTGGGCATGCATGCACATGTGACATGTGCCCGGTGTGAGTTTAACCCACCAGGTCCAGGACTGGAACCGTGGTCGACTATGTGGGAGTCCAGCGACATAGCCATTACTGCCAACTGCTGGTCCCATCAATTTCACCTAATTCTTATAATACCTTATGAGGAAAGTATTACTGTTCTTGTTTTACATAAAATTAGCATAATTATTCAAACAGCTCAGATAATCAGACCAGAATAAATGTTCACTGACTGTGAAGTCTGTGCTCTTTCTTTCTTTTTTTTTTTTGGAGAGGTTTTTGTTATAGGGCATGTGTGCTTGCCAGAAAGACAGAGAGAGACAGAGAGACAGAAAATGAGAAATCACCCCTCCAGGGGGATGGCCATGCCG